TGCTATTGATTGTGTCCAAAGCCTCCCAAGGGCCTTGGTGGGGATGCTGTGGTGGCCTGAATACAGAAATGAGGTGAAAGTACAAACCTTGAACTTAACAGTAATATCTTAGTAAACCAGGTGCTCTCTGCTATGAGTTAATTATGTTTTCCTATTTACTAATGAGGCACAAGTACCATATTTTATCACACTTCTTATGTACAGTGAAGATAAGTGACAAGCACATATTTTTCTTGCTTCACTGCTGTTCTATATTACACAGGTTTGTTTGTGTATGTGTTTTAAAGAAATTATGTGGTAGTCCCTAAAAATACAATATTTCAGGCCACTACAGTGAATAAATAGAAATGTGATCAGGGATTAAAAAAAAAAAACAACTTATACAGCTTTTCAAAGTTGATTGTTTTAAAATTGGTGTTTATTTAAAATGAGTGGTAATGTACTTGAGTGCACTTTTTATGACAATGATTCAGTAACGGTAATTTTACTGTTAAAGAAAGTGAAAGGTTTAGTTTTGTTAGCATGGCTCAGCATGTAGCTGTCAGGTGTTTCTCACCTAAGGGCAAAAGAAAATGATGGTAATAATTGCAATAGTTGTATTGTATTTTTGCAAATGTGCTAAGCATAGGTTTGAAGAGGTTGGTAGGCAGGAAAAAGTACTTCCTAAATATCTTTCTGTAGGTTCATTAGGTTTAACTATTTCCATGTTCTCCTAGTGTTGATTTTACAGTTGATTCATAGGGAATTAAAATGTATATTTTCAACTGTTTTTTTTCTTAACTGGATAATACTGTGGTATGATATACTAGCTACAGACTGCATTGATTCACTCACACGAGTTCTGTTATGCTGTGATTTGAACTCTCCTCACTACAACTTATTTAAAAAAGCACCTAGTTTCCCATTTTGAACAAACAAATAAAAAAAACACATCAGGGCTGCTGGGATCTTGAAAATCCTCATTAAGTAAAGTGAAAGAACTTGGGATACACTGAGATACCAACTTTAAGAACATTAGTCTTATCTCAAACCTCGGATCTTAAATTGTGTGGAAAAGAAGTGGAGAGTGGATGGTAAATGCAGCTCCAGGGGCTTCTTCCTACGCCCCTCCCCACAGTTCCCCTCTCTCTCCTAAGGGTGACCTGGCCTGAAAAGGCTGCACAGAGCAAGCTTATCAATTATAGCTGATGGGCAAGTGGACCCCAAGGCACAGCCTGACACCCAGGGATGGAAACCACTGTTTCCTTAGGTACTGTCCTAGATTCTCTGCTAAACAAGTGCTAGATTCCTCTGGGATGAGACATGACTTAGGACACTTGGTGCTGAGAAACAATTTAATACCAAATACACAAAGAACCTACCTTCCAGCCAGGGAATCTCAAAATTGTTAAGCATATTTTCTCTAAATGGATGGACATACACATATTTACAGCTTTCAAATAAGTTTAAGTGTTCTAACACTAATAAACCATTCATGAGGCTTTTCTTTATAGAAATCACAGAATTTCTAAGGGTAACTTATTACATCATTGCAAAAGACATTACTCATTAAATGGTTTCAGTGTTAAGGATTACACAGCCAATGGCTGACAAATGACTAGAAATCTGCTTGGCTTAAAATTCACTTCCTAATGTACCTGTTGACTTTAAACCTTTAGGATTAAAGGGTTTCGAGTATTTTGAACAAAAATTACAATTTAGCTACTTACTAATCACAAGTTCCCCTTCTCTTTGGTTAGTGTAACACTTACCAGACAGAAACAACTTAAAAATCCCTTTCCAATCCAATGTTTCTGCCACCTGTGTACTCTCCAGCTCTTACTCATTTGGGGCAGGAAAGAGGTTGGTCAATTATAGTTTTAAGAGAAAAACATAAATATGAACTCACTTGATTTTATTACCTATTTTAGGTTCCATAAAATAATTAAAGTGGCTTATTTCTGTTTATAGTTTTTTGAGTATGATACTTCTTGAAGCAATCTCGAGGATGAAGTCCAGGCTTCCTCTTGCATGTCTCATGTCTCAGTAGAAAATGTTTCTCTCCTTCCACCTTTCTCATTTTTTCTGCTGCAAACCATGCAATGCTTTGATTTTGTTCATTTTGCATTATAAAACGCACCTTCCCATTTAACCTTCTTTCAGTGCCAGATGATGGCCTTCCTCTTTTTTGAATGTCTGCTCCTCATCTTGTTCACAAGCTGAATGATGAGACTCCTCTGTAAGAAAGGTGTCTGTACTTTTTCTCCATTCTTATTCTAATCTAATGTGTAAAGGTTATAGCTGTTCATAACTGCAACTTCCATCAGCTAGAATATTAATTTTTTCCACCATTTGTTGGACCTCCTTGTAAATCTGTAACATCCACAGTACTGATCAGCTCTGTCCACTCTTCCCATAAGCTCTGTGTAACCTGTTGGTTTTTCAAATTAAACAAAGAACGTACTCAGCGTTGTTACTAACCTCTTGTCATGGAATGCCAGGCACATCATTTTCATATCACATTGATAAGAAATTCATATTCCTGAAGTTTCCTCTTTTTCAGATCACTTGGAAAAATATTTCCTAGAAGCCCTAGTTGTTCCTGTTCTATGTATTTTTATTTTATGCAATTCGTGAGCAAATTGAGGACTTGTGTAAAATGCAACAAAGCGTCAGATGTCTTCCCAACTTAGCTTGGAAGGTCCAACAGAGGGTTAGAAAGTTAAATTTCATAGCACTGTCAGGCTAAATGGTGGCAAAGCTATGGGAAAACAGCACTTTATAACATAAGAACAAATTTTTTTTTTTGAGACAGTCTTCCTCTGTTGCCCTGGGCTAGAGTGCCATGGCATCAGCCTAGCTCACAGCAACCTCAAACTCCTGGACTCAAGTGACCCTCCTGCCTCAGCCTCCTGAGTAGCTGAGACTGGAGGCACTGGTCACAACACCCACCTAATTTTCTTATTTTCAGTGGAGCAGGGGTTTAGTTCCTGCTCAGGCTTATCTTGAATTTCTGAGCTCAGGTGATCCTTCTACCTTGGCCTCCCAGAGCATTAGGATTACAGGCATGAACCACCACGCCAGGTCTGTAAGAGCAATTATTAATTACATAAACATTGAGAACATCTTTATAGAACTTGTTTTTGCTTGAAAAACCATCAAAAATGGTAATGGGAAATGCTGTAATTTCCTTATGTTCTATAGAACAACTCCATAAACAGGATATGGATTCAGCCTCTGTTCTCATCAAAAATTGAAATAATTTTTCAACAATTAACTCCTCTCCCTGGTGGCAGGAACAGCAGCCTAAACAAGACCAATTCCTTGGAGAGTTCTGAGAATGCATCGCACTGCCTATTTTCTTGCCTTTTCATAGTTAAGCCTTTGGGAACTTGATGCCAAAATTCACTTATTTTATTCTGCCCAACAAATGACACTGTACTTGTTACTTCACTCCCATGATTATGTTATGCTTAGAAACATTCACAAACTTGTGGTTTGAGACCCAGATTGCCAAGCCACAAGAACTGCAGCTCTGAGCCTAGGAGGAAAATAGCAGCACCACAGCACAGTGACTCGAATGAAACAAATAAATCCATAGAAAGAATAAAAACCAAAATTGTTTCAAGAAGATACAGAAAATATAAATAGACCTACAACAAGGAATTTTGAATTAGTGAATTAAAAACTTCCTCAAAGGACATCCAGGTTGAGAGGTCTCTGTGTCAATCTCTTTTCCTATAATGTTTCCGCCTCCTCTTACAGTTGACCCTTAAACACCAGTTTGAACTGCATAGATACATTTTATACGCAAAACTTTTTCACTAAAACACATTATTAAATATATTAATTTTTTTAAAGATTTGCAATAATTTGGAGATGTTGCAAAGTTTTAGTTTTTTAAAAGGTAGGTCACAAATGCATAAAATACATGTAGATACTAGTCTACTATCATTTACTCCCATAAGATACATTCCAATTATAAAAAGCTAAATTTATCAAAATTTATACATAGACCATTCAGAATGACATCTACAACTGAGAGAAACTTAAGCCAACAGCCAAGGTGAAGGCACAGTCCTAAGTCATGAGTGTACAACTACCCATAGCACAGAGTGTTACTGTCATACTTTCATAGCTCAAATGTTGTATCCACTTAAAATGCCACGTGATGCTAAGAATTCCTGAGTAGGCCATTCTTCTCTCCAGTGAAATGTACCTTGAGGTAAGAGGTGGTCTCTCAAGGTTCCTGTGTTTTTCCATCGTGTTTAGTGAAATGTTACTAACCTTGCATATCGCCATGGGACCTATATGAAGTGCTCCTGGGAAGCAGAGTAAAGTCATGATGTTATAGGAAAATGCTGAGCTGTTTGACGGGAACCCTAGGTTGAGATCTGCAGCTGCATTTTCCCCTTCTAGACAGAGGATTCATCTTGTAAACAGACAACAGAAATTTATAGTTCTGATAAATACAATATTGTAAAAATACTTTCTCTTATGATTTTCTTATAACATTTTTCTTTTCTCTAGCCTACTTTAGGCTACTAGTAGTTAGGTTTTTTAAGGTGTCAGAAGTTATTTTGACTTTGTGGGGTGGGGTGGGGATGGGGGCGGTGTCCCTAACCTCCCACGCTGTTCAAGGGCAAACCATATATGTCTATCTACACACACACACACAGTATATTAACTACACAGAAACCCGGCAAGGCATCTTAGCTTGACTACTCTTTAATCAGAAACAACTATTTTACTCAGAAAAGTATAAACAGCAATTAGGATACTTATATACAAATACAACAGCTTGCAGCAGTTTAAGGAGGCTGCTCTCAGTACTTTCTTATGGTCCTTTAACTCTGCAAGTCCGTGACGCTACATGTGCAGCAGAGGCAATCGGTTATGCACCTCATTATTTCAATAGGAGGTAAGATATAAACAAGTAACAAATCACAGAAATTACCTGCCATAAAAGGAATATAACAGACTTTTGAAATGTTAACTTTAACTCCAATGAGACAAATACCTAATTTAAAAATTCTTCACTCCCTGCTAGAATATAAAGAGAACACCTCCTGCAGGGCCCAAGCCTTGAAAGCACAGAAAGATTTTTAAATTAATCGAGCTTTTCAAATCCAAGAAATGGAGCCAGCCCATAATCCCATTTTGCAAATCCCTCAGGCAAAGCTGGGAACCACATCCTGAGATCTTCTGGAACACAATCTTCTGTTATTTGGTATTTTTAAGATGACACCAACTCTACTGTTGCTTAATTTAAAAGTCCTTTAATGGAATGAGTAGAAAGAGAAAAACATTTCAGTTCTAAGTCAATGTTAAAATTAGCTTCTCCCTCTTTTTCCTCTTCCTCTTCTTCTCTTCCAAGTGGCTAGTAGCATCAGCAAAAAACGTGACTTCACTTTTTGCCTCACATTCTCTCTTGAGATAATTAAGACCTGCCATGTTGAAGCCAATGACATCCTGGGGAGGAACACAGGAAAAAAATGAATAACCTTTCCCCACTTTAGCAGCACATGTGAGTCGGGGACACCAAAGTTTCAGGTGTTATTTTTGTTTTTTTCTCTAATTCCTACCAATTCCAACATAAATAATCTTATTACAAATACAGATTCATAGCTATTCAGAGGCTAAAGACAAAACACAGCAGACCCGACTGACTCTAAGTCACACACACACAAGGATTTTGCCTCATATAATATCTATATACAAAGACACTTACCCGGACTTGACTGACTTTTGAAATCGTTGTTTCCTTTAACTTTTCTATCACTGGCACAAGCATTTGATTGCTAGTAATCTGTCCGAAATGAATTCTAAGAGAAAAACAAGACAGAGCCATGTGGCCAAAAGAGGTTCTGACCCTACCTGTTCCTTTTAGAAATAGCAAATAGAAACAGTATTAAAGCACCAACAACCACAAATAGATTCATTTCATCTTATCATGGGAGTATAAAAATGCTTCTAGCAAACAAACAAACAAACAAAAATTCCAGTTCAATTTGAAGAAAAGTTTTAAAATACTATCCTAGACCTGTGGTACACTCAACCCATTTGCAAAGCTAATTCTTTCTCCAGACATCTTCCAGCAGGCCACAGATTTTGACAATGGTATTTTACAGAAAGCCCAAAGAGAAGGAGCCTTCTAAGAAATGGCCACTCAATACTTATTAATATTTCTAATACCTAAGGTACAGAAAAAAGTTATAGAGCCATTCATCAGAGACGGTGTGACCGTGCTGAATCTATGAACCAGGTAGTCCCCAGCTCCAGTCTCTGATAAAAGTATCATGCTGCTTCTCTCAGAACCAGCAACCCGGATCAATAGCATAGACGCCACTACAGTAAAAAAGTATTAATAATACTGTATATGAATTTCACAGCTTCACCAAAGTTATGAATATAACAACAGAATAATATAAACCTGTCACTGTCTTCTCTTGCTGCTACCTTGATAGAAAATAAGGAATGGAGGGTTAAGAATCATAAAAGCAGGCTAATTCACTAAATATACTTGTTAACTATTTGGCATTTGCTGACCAGTTTTTGTCTTCATAACTGTATTTTAAGGAATGTTCAGTTCATCTCTACTGTTCTTTGCTGAACAGCTTGTGAGTGAGGGTCAGAGAGAGGGATCAGAATACGTGCATTCTTAAGCTTTTTTGTACCTATATTCTTCTCGCATACATACATGCATTAACAGAGAATTCTTCACATTTACGAACACAGCCTAATGAGCATACTCTCTTTATTTCCTTCGTTTACCTCTCTATATGATCCCTATGCTTCCATTTGCACCTGTGAAGTCCTGGAGAAATTAAACAGACTTCCTTAAAATATCATTATGAGGACCAACAAACCAGTTAACTTACTAAACACAAACACAACCAATGAGGCCCACTGACCCTCCCGTGACAGGCCACCTGCTGTCTCACGTGCAGCCTGATGAGGCGCTCCTGAGCAATGCACTTCCCACACATGCTACTCACAGATGGGCTGCCACCATCCTTGTAAAGGCAAGATTGATTCCAAAGGATAAGAAACACTTTATGCCAGAAAGAGCTAAAATTCAGTGTCTGAAACTAAAATGTAAGATTTCTTAATCCCAAATTGCTGACAGCTTCAGTTAAGGTACTAACAAAGCAGTTCTGCGGAAGAGACACAGTATTCTTTGGAAAGGATGTTACCTGAGGAGAAAGAAGAGACACCTGCACAGAAGTTCAATGTCCGACCCCAGGTGGATGAACTCGGTGAAGAGTTTAAGAATGTCTGGGACATACGAGAAAGGCAGCACAAGCAGAGATTCTTCCAGCTCACTGAAGAAAAAACAAAAATTAAAAAGGTCACATTTCTTAACATGGTTAATTTTAAATCTTTTTCTTTATTATTTTTTTTCTACTGACTTTACACTGAATAGATCTTGCCCATTCAGAGTTAAATTAAATATTCAATGGTGTTCTAGATGATTCTCTTTTTTCAATGTTTTCTTTTTTATATTTAGTATTGTAATTTATTTGAAGTACATTTTGTCCACAGCATGGTAGGAAAATCTAACCTTTTCCCTCCAAATAACCAACTTCTCCAAAGCCTTTTGTTGACTATTACTCCATCTTTATGTGATACTTTTACCATAGATTGAATTCTTACATATGACAGAGTGTGTTTCAGGGCTTTTAAGTCTATTACAATAAATGATTGATCCTAATACCAACCCTGCACTACTTGAATTTTGCTAACTTTATAGTCTTTTAATTGAGGAGAACAGCTCCCTCTAGAACTAGCTCTAGAATGACTTGAAATCACTTCATCAATTCTAATTAGAAATTTTAAGAAGCTTTCAATTGGCATCACAGACCTGTTAGTTTAAGAAAAATTAATTTGTTTAAAAACACAGAATCTTCCCATTTTGGAATTTATTATACTGCATTTACATTTCTCTAATAAAGTTTTGTCATTATCCTCCGACAGGTCTTGCTTATTTCTAAGGAATATATTTAGATATGATTATGAAAATGAGAGCCTTCAGTAGGTCAAACTCATAAATCAAAAAGTAAATCACAAATAATACATTATTCCAAAGATTTATGACAAAGAACATAAAGAATTCCTTAAAACTAATAAAAGAAACTAGTAGAGAGCAAAAAGGAAGAACTAAAAATTTACAAGAAAAAATACAAATGGTCAATGTGCTGACATTTTAACTTTACTAATAATCAAAAGAAATGAAAATAATACAATACCACCATTTGCCTTTCAAACTGGCACCAAATTTTCAAAAGCCTGGTAAAAAATCAGTACAAGTACCAGAAAGTAATTTGGCAATATAAACCTTTAAAAAGTTTATGCCCATTGATCAGTTAATAGGCTGCTACGACTCTGAAGCAAAATAATCAATAATGATGACAAAGATTTGTGTGTATAAAGGCGTTCAGTGAAGCATTACTGATAATAGCAAAAAATGAAAAACAAATGCAGAATCCAACAGTAATTGAACAAGGGAATATTTGAATTAATTCAATGATGTGTTTGAAGAGTATCAATAATGAGCAAATATTCAGGAAATAATGGGAAAAAGAATAGGGTATAAAACTATAGACAATATGATTCCAATAGTGTTATGTACACAAAAAAATAGACCAAAGGAAATAATCCAACAAAACACGTTAACAGTTGGTACTTCTGCTTGAGTTGTATATTATTTTATTACTTACAAATAACTACTTCCCTTCATTTGTCCTTAAAAATACTATTTCCCTTCATACTTTAGAAGGAGCCTCTTAGTTCTGATACTTTATAAAGAACATTACAATTTATTATTTTCCATCAAATCTCTGACATAGTGAAACCAAAAGGAAGATAGCCATCAGTTATAATTTCTATAGATTTCATGTTCGGATAAGCACTTGATACATGTTAGCTGACAGATTACAGCAATTGTGTGCTAGGACTCACCTTGACTTGATCCCTTTAAAAATCTCTAATACATAGGCTGAAGGCTATAAAGGAAGGATAGTACTATTAGTGCTACGTTTGGTTCATTTCTACTACAGCCCTCTAACTTCCACCACCTGAAAAACAGAGAGTCCTCTCTGTCACTTCAAAAGTGTTCTAAAATGGCAAGACCTACATGGGTGTACAGCTGGCCCCGTCTGGGTTCACAGTTGAGTTCTGCCCCTTACCAACTACATTGTCTTCTAAGTCAGGCCAGCTTCCTTACCAGGAGACATGCAAGTAAAAGACTAATTGGAGACTGCTAAATGAGAGGCATTCTCCCATTCCTCTTCCCTTCTCTCTTCCTTTATCTTATATGACTGATTTATGCCAATTTTTCCTTCAAAGGCTTATTCCAAAGTTCATTTAGATGACTATGATCTTCAGAGGACCTTGGACACCAAACATAAATAAGTACTAGAAAAACAGAATACCAGGGCAGACCAGCCAAAAAGACTGACTTGGGAAGTTACGCTAAAGTGGTCCTTTTGAAAAACAAAATATCCTAGACTAGGATGGCAAGATTCAAGGGAGATTTTTAAAGCAAAGTATTTCCCTATATAACCATCCCCAAACTGTAATGCTTCTTGAAGGTAACTTTTGACTACCCAAGGAGAAACTGTTAAGACATTCTACTCACTGAGATATTGCCATAAGCCATCAGGATGGGGTTGATGGGAAGAGGAACCTATGAAGGAATTATTAAACCAAGTCATTAAAAAAAACAAGACTTTGATAGTGCAAACAGGGTGGTAACAGTGTTTTACAATAAGCTGAAAGATGTACAAGAATTAGCAGGACTATTAGTTTCTAAAGTACTTATGAATGACTTTGAACAATGCATAACTGAAATGGGTTCTCTTGCCTCCCTAGTTCAAAGTAGGACTGTGAGTTTCTATTCAATATAATAAATGACCCAATTTCTTTTTAAGACCAAGCTTCCTTCTTGTCCTCTTTATAAGACCAAGCTTCTTTCCTCCCATAGATCTCAATTTCTTGTAATATTTGAGTTAGAAAAGATACCACTGCATTTATCTCATATCTTAATCTTAATCAACATAAACTTAAAACAATGGTTTTCTACTGAGGAATTCACTTTCTAAGTGCTTCCCAGAGCATAACAGACAATCTCACCTCTTTCCCTGCTGCTTTACAAATGGCTTTGTGTTCTTTCATTTTTGCAGTTTCTTCTCGGTATAGCTCAATAGCCTCCATGATCCTCTCAGCCTACACAAGTGATGACAAAGGAAGGAAATCATCATCACAACACCCTCCATCACCCCGGAATACTGAAACAGGAAGGCCTGAGAAACTGACTTCAGGAAATAGCTTGAATCAGTTTAATAAAGATGTGCCAATAGAGTGCCTAGCCGGATTTAAAGACATCTGTGGTTTCTTTAATTTACAGAGAGGAGACTAAGCGTCACGAACTCAGGTAGGACCACCTCTAGACACCTGAGGAGGGCAGTTCCCAAGAACTCCTGAAAGGAGCTGTCTACTTTCAAAAGGAAATCCCACTTTTCTTTCTAGAAATCAAACTGATCTAGGACTACTCTTTGTCTTTGGTTCCAAGGAAATAAAACAGGAGGTTACGAGTTCCATCTTTAAATGTAATCAACTTAATGCCACAAAATGGTTATTTGGTTAACATAGACTAAAACTTTTACTAAGAGTAGAGATCCTATCAAAAAGTGAGATACTACCTTCATATTAACTTACTGCTTTGACTGTTTCAATAGTTTTCTTTCCAGTAAAGTAACTGTCACCTTGAGTTTCCCCTGGAACCTGCCAGAAACAAAGAGATATTTGAACAATAGTGTCAGCAAGAGTTAAAAGAGTCACTAAGTTTATCTTAGAGGCTATAGAAAAACACAGTGATAAGACAGTGATGTTAGCTACTTAGTAAGGGCCAGGCACTAGCCTAAGCATTTTGTATGTATTATTATAAGAATATCCTACAAATGCTTAAAGACAATGTCCAATTTCTCAAATTCTTTTCTTATTTTTACTTCTGTCCTACAGGAAACTAAATTCCCTAAATGCCCCTCAAGGGAAAAATAAAGCCAGAATAAAAATGATTCAATACCAATTTTGGTCAATCACTTGCCCCCACAAAATTAGAATATACAGTTGAATAGAAAGGAACACAAAGATTTTTCTTCATATCAGCTGCTAATCCCTTTAGCATCTAGCCCCAATTCTAATTCTACTAGAAATTCCTGAAATTATAGTGAATTTCAATAAGGTGATTATAAGGCACAAGCTCCGAATTCTAAAACATTTACTTACTGCTGGTTGGTCTTCTTTGGCCACACTCTCCTCATATTCTGCTTCCCTTTGCTGCCATGAGATAAAGAAAAGTTAATTTGAGAGAAAAAAACAGTCTCCATATAAAGTGATATGAAGCAGTGAGAAGCTGCTTCTTTCAAAACATAATTCCCTCACAGTGTCCTCATCTCTGCCCAGTTTCTGGAATGGGTGACAGTGGTCTTGGAAACACCTCCTGTGGGACCCTGGACTTGCACTGAGTGGGGTGTGACTGCACAAGGCAAAAACCTTGAACTGGGACAGCCTGTCAGATATGCACAGGCGTATTTGTAACCAAGCCCAGCGTCCTCACCATCTCCCTTTCTTCCTCAAGTATAAGAGGCTCCCTTGTCCTCTCCCAAAGTCTCAAAGATTTGTCATGGGACGATGATACAATATAGTCCCCGCTGGGGCTTACAGCCAAACACCATATTTCCTGGTGATGCCCCTGGAGGAAAAAAAAAAAACACAAACGAAAACTAAGGTAAGGACGCCTCATTCACAGCTTGCTATTTGTTTATATTAGCAGATTAGCAGGTAATGAAACATGCTTAAGTCCTGAGCTAGCAAAACAGGTTAGAGGATACCTCCAGAGTCTGTATGTGCTCAAATTTGTCTGCATCCCATTGCTTGATCTTATGGTCTTTCCCAGCCGTGAAGAAGAGGTGAGACTTGGGTACAAACTGCAGGTACATCACACTGAAAAGTGAGAGAAGAATTCAAATGTCATTAAAATCCCTGGTTAGTAAAATGAGTCTTATACACACAAAGTTTTTGACTAGCTAGTTCCTGACTATCTGACTGTATTTTAAAACGTTCAATTTATCAGGGTCTGAGAACGTTAACTAATAGATGAAGATGCTTTAGGGAAATGCTACTTGCAGGAGACCTGTGAAAAGATTACACCCACCTGTCATCATGCGCAAAGAGAGACTTGTGGCAGTCCCCAAAATCCAAACCCCAGATTTTCACATTCCTGTCGGCAGACCCAGTTGCTATTAGTGCTCCATCCTATAAGAAACAGAAGTAAAACATTACCTGACATCTGAATTTTAAAAGTTAGATAAAATAAACCTAACCAGAATGCTTAACCCATTTCTTTCAAAAGCATTTGAATAAAGCCAAAAGAATTTATTTCATCTCTCTACTAAGAATACTTAATTCTTTTACCTACAGAGCTAATTAAGAATCTGCTAGGATGTTTATGACCTAGCCTTGAATCCCATGTTCTCTCTTTATTTCTGACCTTTCCGATTTCAATGCCTGGTTCAAATGGTTAACATAACAAAAAATTGGAAATGTTCAACACTATAACTTAACTGTTGGTGCACTGAAACCTGGGAGGGCAATTCCTTTCACACAGAATAGCCATAGTTTTCAAATGTACAATACACTCCTAATCATAACTAGACACTGGAAAAAATTTATGTGGTCAAGACACTAAAAGTATATATAGTACAAAATGCCATAAATAACCAAACATAAAGCCAAATTCCTTCTTCCTCACCAGTATTATCCTTCAGATCATTAGGGAATACATTTTTAAAAGCCTTTAACATTTTAGGGTACTCCACCAATTACATTATTTTAGACAACAAAGTAGAATTTGGGAATTATAGGGATTAACTGAGATATTTGTAAAATTATACCAAATACCTTAAAGTAACATATATTCAAGATACAATACATATTAATTTATAACTTTTTGGAGAAAATCAGGTATACAACAAAATGATAAAAAACAAATACTCTAAAATGAAGACAACAAGCCAACTAAGAAAGTGTCTGTGTTAGAAAAGACAACATGTTATTGGACATTAATTGAACTTTACTTACATAAGAGATGTCCATGCATATAACAGGCAGTTTGTGTCCATAAAGTGAGAGAAAGAACTAAACATTGAAAAAAAAGAATACAAATAATTCATGTCTGCCTATGAAATAAATACAGGTATAATTATCTGTGTGTCTAAAATGTAACATTAAAATATTAAACACACTTTTGGATAAACTTATGTCTACACCTTCAAAGATGACAATGAAGCTACTGAAGACAACTGACTATGAATTCCTGTTGTGCGCTATCCAGACCCTGTGCATGCTATCCAGACCCTGTGTGCACTATCCAGACCCTGTG